GTACATCTCGAAGATCAGAGCCGAAGCGGAACCGCACGGGATCTGCAAAATCATTCCTCCGAACGTATGACCACTTATTGACCACTCGTTGTCTTTGCATTCACGCGATGCCAACACTCAGACAATCCCTCAATCATTGTCTTTGTATTGGCATTGAGTGCCTCCGAGCCATTGATTGCCTCATAATTATTGCATTGATTTGTTGTATATTTAGTTAAACTGATTGTCTTTAGAGAGGCTTTCATTGAATTAAATTGAGTCCTAAATAGACGACTAGTTTGTGAGAAGCAGTCGTAAGAAGTATATATAGACCGCACCCTAACTATGGCTCGCATTCATTACTATTACAGATCTCTTGCTTTGGTTCACATTTATAGCTAATTACCAATAGATATGTCTATTAATAGTGATTTGAATGAATTGAATGCAATGTTTGATTGCGTTTAGCATTTGTGTGATTAACTCATTTTCATGTGACATATGTTGAGCAGACATTTCAGCCGCCATTTGCAGTGGCCGTCGAGGAGTTCCGGTTCACACCTCGTATTCAGAGACTCAATGAGTTGGAAGCGACCACAAGAATCAAATTGAATTTCATTGAACAGATCGTCAAGTTCTGGGATTTGCAGGTAAAACCATTGTCTCATAAGAGTTGCGATTTTTGTCACGTATGTCTATCTGTGAAAATCTTTTATTTATTGCTTTTCCCATACATTAACACTAATCTCGCATCACGTAACACTATAACCATATTACATATTACTGTATCACTGATAGTCGCAGCACTTCTCAACTCATTTCAATGTCAAAATACACTACAAGTCTATTGTATAATAGATTTTTTAGAAAAAGCAATTTGAATATTATTTATATTAAGATTTTGATTATCAATTTCGTTAATACCCTATTTTAAGCTTACATTCAGTTATTGCAATATATTTAATAATTTTCTACTTTCTCTTAATGTAATTATCACTTCTTTTCTATTATTTGCATTCAATTAAATTGTTTAATAACTATATAATTATATGAATATATGACTCAATTGAATGGCTTTGTCCGATAGGGCGCATCATTTAAGATCCCAACCCTCGAGAGACGTTCTCTTGACTTATATAACTTACACCGAATTGTTGGAGAAGAGGGAGGTTTTGAGATTTGCACCCGAGATAGGAAGTGGTCACGGGTTGCCGCACGTATGGGTTACGGAAGTATGTCTCCCATTATTTTGAAGCTATTTATCTGTTGACTAATTTGGTGTAAACTGTTGTCACGAATGAATAGATAACGCATCCAATAGGGGAACCATAGCCTCACTCCTACGGCAACATTACGAACGAATACTCTTTCCATACGATGTGTTTCAAAGTGGAGCCACTATTGGACCCGATATTGTGAGACCCCTTTTGCACCCCTTTTGAGACCCAAACAACTCTTGACATTACTTAACATTTATGTGTGTTTTAACGATAGGATGAGAAAAGTGTTACCATTTCATCAGATGATGACTGCGAAGACAAGAAAGCGTTGAAGTCATGCAATGACAGCAAAGAGTTGGCTACCCCTGAGAAGCGTGTCTTAAGACGACAATCCATTTCCCCATCAAATCAGAATCCACTCCTAATTTCCCCCAACTCTCAGAATAAGGAACTAAAGAAACTTCAGGTATACGGTGCCGGACCTAAAATGCCTGGATATGTGTCCGAACAGACTGAACGAGAACGAGAACAAGCGGTTAAGGTCTGTGTCCTACCGCTTAAGCCGTTTACTGTTTTCCAATGACTCCAACTTCTGTTTGTTTCCATTAACCACAGGTTTGTCTGCATTGCGGGGAAACTAATCCGACACCAATGCTGTTAACGTGTGACAACTGTACCAACACTTATCACACCCATTGTCTCATCCCTCCACTCAATGATTGGCCCAAAGGTTCGTTGATTCCTATAGTGATGTGTTTGTAATGAATGACACTTTGGCTCATCAGGTGTATGGCACTGTCACCGATGTCTGGCTCTGTTAGTCCAGTCCTATCCTCAGCCCTACACTCAAGAGTTTGGTTTCGTTCAGTCGCAGAAGAGCTACACTTTAAGTGAATTCGGAGAAATGGCCGATCAGTTCAAAGCGGATTACTTCAATTGTCCGCCACATGTAATGTCATTCATGGTGTAGTCGATGACTATTCTAATGGACTGTCATTTGTTTGTTAAGTCGGTTACGCATTCTATGGCGGAGAAGGAGTTCTGGCGTTTAGTGTCAGCCTTAGA